CTAGGGCCTTTTGTCCTTCAACTTTCACTTTGTGTTTGCACTGAGAAGGGGGATATGCTCTACATAACCACAGTGCAGTACAATTGTCAACTTCAGTAAATTTGGAATCCTTTCTTTGGTCCTTTCCTTCACTCCCTCTCTTCCTTCCCTCCTTCTGCCCTCCCTCCTTCCTACCCTCCATCCCTCCCTTCCTTCTCTCCCCCTATTTTTGTGGTGCTTGGTAAACTATACGCCCAGCCCTTGATTTTTTGAGACAAGGTTTTCCTATGTAGTTCAGACTGGTCTTGAACTCCATATGTAGCCCAGACTAGCCTCATACTCATGCTTCTGGCTCGGACTCATAAGTGCAGTATTACAGGCATGTACCACCATGCCTGGCTATATTCCAGTTTTTTCAGCACATTCAATGATGTTCTTTATAGAATTCATTATAGGACCAACTCTAGGATCAAGTATATTTAGTTGGAATATATTTTAGTCTTCTTTAATATGGATCATTTTCTTTGTCTTTAATGAGTTGATGTTGTTTGAAGAATGTATTCCCATTCCCCTTTTTAAGAACTGAATTATCTGAGTACCTGTGACCTGTCCCTCCTATTGATTAGCCACTTTGTCTCTGAGATGCTCTTCAAGGGCCTGCCAAGTAAGTTTTGTGTCATACAGCTTTTAAATCAGACTATCCCTTAAATGTCTGTCAAACTTGGAGAGAACCTGTGCTGATGTATTTGAGCTATGTATGTATCAGTAGGTAGACAGAGGCGTATTTTCTCCATGGTCATTTGTACCTCCTGTTTCCACTTGCAAGAGCATAAGTCACTGGCTGCACCCGTTGACCATTGAGCTGCCTTTGGGCACCCTCTGCTGGCTCTGCATTGCATGAGCACTTTTCTGGGATTGTGTGACAGATTCCTCTTGCTGCCCATTTTCTTTCTCTTGGTTACTTGGTCTGCCCCGCCCCCTTCAATTATTTACACAGAAGAAGATCATATAATACAACCTGCTTTATTTGCTAAATGTGTCAAGAATATGTCCCCATGTTAAATACGTATTTTTACATTGACATGTTAATCTGCATATTTTTCTTTACATGAATACTTAAGTCATCCACTCAGTAGGTGTTTGCATTGCTTGTTTTTTTCCTTTTCAGATAGCATATAAAATGAAAATCTCCTGTACATACACCATACACATGTGACTTATTAAGCAGAATTTGATAAGTGGGTAGGTAGGAACTTGACAGGTGAAAGTACACAGGAATTTTTTTTTTGGTGGTGCTGGGGTTTGAACTAAATGTCTCACACTTGCTAGCCAGGCACTCTACTGCTTGAGCCACTTCACCAGCCCTTGACTGGTAAAAATATAAAGGAGTCTTTAGTCTGAAAAAAATTTCTAGGACAAGTTTTGCATGTGTTCAAGAACTAGGTGAATGGCTGGGTGTGGTGATGCACACCTATAATGCCAGTATTCCAGGGGCAGAGGCAAGAGGAACATGTGTTCAAGGCTAGCCTGGGCTATAGAAAGAGACTCTGGGCAAAAAAGCAAAAGGACTGGGGATTGTAGCTCACTGGTAGAGTACTTGCCTAGCATGTGCAAGGCCCTGGGTTCTGTTCCCCAGCACCTCCAAACAAACAACTAAACAGGAAAATCAAGTTTGGCTGAAATATGGCTGGGTAATAGTGGGAAACTTAGTGGGAAAGTAGGTACTTTTTCAGGACTTTCTACTGAATTGACAGAGCCCAACCGTAAGAGAAGTAGCACAGAAATTTCTTTGTTCATAACTAGAAAGCCCAGGTAGCTGGGTTCAGGGACTCAGATGCTACAGCTCTATCCCTTGCCTGTCTCTGTTTCTCCTTCTGTCCTTTCCCTGTCTCAGCACTGGTTCTCTTGCCTGTTGGCCTGGGAAGGGAAGGAGCCTCTAGGTCTCTCCAAATTGGCATCCAGCTGCTCACCAGCAGCTCAGGTTATAGAGCCACTTTCTTCCATTACTCATAGAGTGAATATCAGAGAAGCCATGACAGGTACTTTTTGTCAGATGTCTACTCTTAGGTCAGTCTGTGTGAACAAAGGGACAGTGGTCTGCCTCAGTCAGATCTGAAACGTAGGCCCACACCAAAGGCCAGGGAATATATAGGAACTATGATTATTTCTCCACCAGAACCCCATGAAGTATGTGATCTGGAATTCCTCAAGAGAAAGATGGTATTGAATGGATAAGACAGCAGATACCTACCATACTCATCCAGCCTCCATGGGAGCACTTCAAGCAGGTCTGAGTAGGGTATGGTCAGAGACATTGGAAGGAGGGTTCTCTCAGTGGTGCCTCCTTTTAGAGCAGGGGGAATTCCTTCAAGGTATGAGTCCTTCAAGGTCAGGCCTATGAGACTCAGGATATTGGGCCAACTGGCACACAGGAAATGAAAAGCAGCCATGGACCCAAAGACTTCCTCTTTCTTGCTAGATTGTTTTAGGAGTAGCCACTGCTACTGTTTCCAGAGTCATCTGTTTTTGTTTTTTTTTTAAGTGTAAAACAAGAGAGTTAATTGAGATAAAAAAGTGTAAAATGGGAGAGTAGAGCCTCCAGAGTTGGGGGGAGGGTGTCCCTAAGGGAGGGTGTTCTTCAGGGTCATCTTTATAGCATTTACTTTTGTAGATAAAATTCTAATTATTTATTTATTTAGTGGTATGGGTGTTGAACCCAGGGCCTCATGCATGCTAGGCAAGTGCCCTACCATTCATTCAGCTACATCCCAGCCCTAACATTTTTTATACTGTTTTTGCTTGGCTCAAAAACCAGGCAAAGTTTTTGTTTGTTTGTTTATGCGGTATACTGTGTGTAAAAGTTTGTCACTTCAGTGGTGTATTCCCGAGCTACATTTCTGGTTTTTATTTTTTCAACTCCCTTCTACTTTGTCTGTGAACCTCGAGTCAACTGAATTTCTGCCATTCCATTAAGCCACCCATACTTTTCCCATGTCTGGTCATCTGTTTTCACTTTTCTCAAGGCTGGAATGTCTGCACTGGGGTTTGACTGGAGATATAAACAAGAACTGGTTCCCAGAGCTGGGGTGTTCTGTAATAGTGCTAAGATCCTACCAAAGCAGGTAGAGTAAAGCTTATAGATAATTAAATTCTCAACCCTCATATTTGTAAATAGGCCTTGTTGACTTTTTCCATTCCACAATGATTTGAAGCCAGATCTTCAGGGTAGGGACAACAGGGTGCTGTGGGGGAGGTTGTAGGGCCCAGACAGGCTGGCAGATGGCCCTTCACATCTGTATGCTGATGCTGGGAGAGGAGGGCTTTTGACAGAGGTCAAGGACGTGGGGTTGAGACAGAAGTGTAGAGGTGGTCATGGCTTGCATTCTATCTGTATTAAAAACTTTCTAATACTTGTGTGTCAAGGAGGGAGAACAAGTGAGGTAATGGAGAAGTGCTTTTTCTACCAGTATTTAGTGACCAAACACAGAAAATGTGGAGAAGGCCAAGGACTCCTTAATTCCCTAATCCAGGGATGTGACTGATACTTGTCCTGTCACAGTGAGAGAGAGAGATACTGTAGATTTCAGGAAACCTGATAGTTCATTCTTCTAAGTAATAATAAAAAAAGAAACCATTTTTCCTATTTCTTAATATAAAATGAGCAACATTTTAGTTTCCCCAGTTTTGGTACCTTTTAGGAAAGAGAATATAGATTGATTTTTTGTTGTTGTTGAAAATAAACTTAAAAAACTTAAGACAAAAACCTGCCAAAAAAAAACCAATGGTAAGTTGAGATGAATATGGATTACCTTGATGCATATGTATTTTTTATACTAGGCACACACTATATTTTTAATGTTTATGCTATTTTGGGTTTCATGTTTGCTTCTACTTCAGGAGACTATATCAAGTTCTTTCCTCAGATATTGAAAAGGTAGAACACTGCCTTTTTTTTTCTTTTGTGCAGTGACCTTTGTCCCCAAGGAGGCAGACGGATACCTTTATTTTTACCTCCTTAACATTAGAACCATAAGGGCTGTCAGTGCTGTGCTGGAGCATAGGCCACCATGAGCAAAGGAAGGTTGTGCTGAGAGACTGGTGCCAAAGGAAATGAATTTGGTGATTGGAAGTTTTGTTTTACAAGCCTGCTGTGGCCCTTTACTGCAGGGTGGGCTGTGCCAAGGGAAACAGGTTTATATGGAACCTCAGGGCCAGGACCTTAATTAAACAAAGAAGGTGCTGGAACACATGGGAGCTGCACCTTCAAAGCTGATTCTTCTCCTTTCAGTGCATGTGACTATAACTACATCCTTCCAAAAGAGAAAAAGAAAGGAAGAAAGATTGAAATTTTGATGACAATAATACACTTTAGGTAAAGTAGTGATGGAAATATAGTCTTATTTTTGCACCAGGTTATGCTTAGAAAGCTGATTCTAACCCAGGAAGCTTGGCTTTCAGAATTCTCTGGTAATCCAGGGTAGAAAACAGTATCACCCCAGATGGCATTTGCAGGAGATTACTGACCCATAATCCTTCCTTGTCCTAGAAGATTAGGTCTGCCCTGGTGTAGTTGTACTCAGCTGACTGGTTTTTTTTTTTAAAAAAACTGTAGGTTTTTTTTTTTTTTTTTTTTTTTTTTGTAATTCTTCCAGGGTTTGCTTGAGCTGTTTGTACATCTGAGTGCTATGGCAGAGCTGGCCCCTCCTTTGTTTACTGAAGAAAATACCACTCCCCTGCCCTGGTTGTTCATTGTTGACTGAAATTAACAACAGGTGGTGATCAGAGCCTCTCCTGAGGTTGCTGGGGATCAGTCATCTATTAAAAGGCTCTCTTACTATGAGGGGGTGAAGGCTTCCAGAAGGAAATGTTGCACCTGAGCCTAGAAGCTGGGCGTGGCTTCTAAGCTGGGGTTGATTTCCTCAATGAGCTTGCTTGGTGCAAAGAGACCATGGCCGAAGGGGCACACAAATGAAGAGTAATTTCAGGCAGCTGTAAAGCCATGCACTCTGCCTTTGTCTGGAATGGATAGTAGAGACATGGACTTATTTGAGGACTACCAGTCTCCATTTGATTTTGATACAGGAGTGAACAAAAATTATCTCTACTTGTCTCCTAGTGGAAATTTATCTCCACCTGGATCACCTACTCAGAAATTTGGTAACTATATTGTAAGATTTGCTGTAATAAAACCTAGACGTATCTTGGGGCTCACCTGGCTTTAAAATTATTAGTGAAAGATGTATCAGGGTGTTGCTGTGTTGTAACGAGTTAGCAAGGTTTTTCCAGATTGAAAGAGGAGAGAGAGTTGGCTGTTAAGTATTCGGAATGTATTTGTAGTGGGAAGTTAGTTTTTAAAGTTAGTACTGTTTTTGTGTTCATTAGAGGTCTTCTGATCACTTTGAGTGCGTTAAGCTGATAAATAACAGAAAAGGAGGAATCTGAAGGCCTCACTTTCCAGTTGCTTCTGAAATTTGTGAAGACTACCCTCATTGTTGTCTTGGTAAACTGAGGGTTAAGCACTGAAGCACTGGCCGAATTCCAGGGTTTCTAACAGATGTCCTGAATTTTGTTATGGAAGACTGAGAGCAACTCACAGAAATACCTAGGCAAGAGATTTTTAAAAAAGGAAAATCTCAAAATTGCTGTGCCTTTGGAAGCCATTGTTCCCTCCCACATGCAGTATGAGATTTTCTATCAGCCTGGGGTCTGGTCAGTGAGGGTCTGAATGTGTCACTCGGCTGGCAAGAAGCCAGAGCCTCAACAGCTATGGTCCAAGTTGAATCTTGGACCAAGTTGTTCTTAATAGACAGTGCTGAGAGGAAGACAGCTAAATGACCTCCTCTGTAACTTGTCCAGGAAGCAATGGAGTTTTCCTGGAAGTTAATTATTTCCTTATTAATGAAGAATAGGTCACATTTTGTTCTTTTTAAGTATAACACATGGGTAATTCAGAAAACAGGTGCTAAAGGATACAGTTATAAGTACTGGAGGTTTGTGTATTTGTTAACTACAGGGTGTGTGCTAAAGCAACATCTCTGTAACTCTTGGTTTCAGTTGGTAGCCACCTTTGCAGGTAGAGCTTGGATTTCCTGGAAGGGGAAAAATGTTGACAATAAAAGGGTCAGAGTAGGTCTGTAGAAGGTGGGGCTGGTGATAGCAGCTGAAGTCTGCTGGGGAGTCTGATTGCTGAGAACTTGGCCCCTTGCTGACCCTTCTGTCTTTGTGGCCCACGACAGATCTCTGTAATAAAGGGAACTGGGCTTCCTATTTGCTCAGCTCCTTAATAAGGATGGCATCATTCTAACTTTTTAATTTTATGGATCAGAGCAGCACACACAGTGGGGAACTTAGAGCTCCATAATGAAGCCTCAGTGACAAGGGCCATGAAAACCTTGTGAAGCCAGGCTGCAATCACCAAGGAAGACTTACGCTGCTTGTTTCTCTGATTGCTTATCTATTCCTCTGGTCCCCACTTCACCTCTTTTCTTTCTTCCAGTTATGATCATGGCTTCTGTGGGACGTTTTCAGGTGTAGGATTGGCTGTGTCTCTGCAAATATTGCCAAATTATTTTCAGAATTCCTAGTAGCGATCTGAAGCAGCCTGAAGTCATGGGATTAAAAAAAATTGTTAAAAAAAAAACCCACCATATGCAGTTGTCTGGTAAGAGTTCAGTGATTCCAAAACAGCCAAATCAAAGTGGGGACCTAGAAACATTGGTTCCCAGTCTCTGTGTGTGAGATTCCTTAGGACATATAAACCCACACACCTTCTGAACTTCAAATGTGATATATAGATGGACTGATAACATGTCTTTTCTGTGTTTGTAGTAGTTGTATTTCTGTGTAGATGCTCTTAAGACTATTACTTACAAGTGGTTTTTGGTCACTGCGTATTTTCTTAGTCAGATAGACAAAGGACTAATGTAAAAAGCCATCCTACTGAGAAAGGTTGGGAACACTGACTGCTGATCTAAAAAGAACATGTTCTCTGATTTATATCCAAAATGCCTTCATAGGGCAAAGGAGAAGTAATAAGATTCAGTCAGTGGGCAGGATGTTCTTGAGTAGGAGGTGAGCCAGTGGCTGGAACTAAAAGATGTCCTTTATCAGGGATGTCTGAACCTTTGGCATGACCAGTGCATTCAGGGGCATCTTTTCCCTTTTGACTCACAATCCTTATAAACACAAATACCTATCAGTAACTGAAACAAATTTTGTGAAACAGAACCTGTCCTTAGTATGTGTGATTATGTTCTAATTGACTGAGTGCGTGGAATTGGCAAGGACTAGTTCACACTCTAGTTGATTTTGCAGATGTGAACATTTTGAGTCTTGGAGAGATGTGTGATTCTCCTGATCACCAAGTCTAGTTAGCCTAAGCTGGGACTAGCACTTGTCTCTCAGTTTTCAATCAGTGTTTTTTAAATTTTTATTATAAATTGATTTTTTTTTCTTGGTGGTGGTGGGGTTCCAAGCCACGGTAGGTGGTGTACTACTGAGCTTTACCAGTTCCAGTTTGTTTTTTCAGAATATGTCGGGATCTTTCCTTCCTCCCCCACTTTTTCTTGAAGTTTGGGGAGGTGACTTCTTTCCTGGATTGGGCATTGACTCCTGTCAGGGCCCTTCCTGTGTTCTGAAGAAGGTTCTTCCCTGCTCTTGCTCCTAGTTCCACCTTTCCCTTCCTCCTCTGTCTCTTTTCCTCTTTAGTAACCCTCACATTGCTCAGTTAAGATGTTGGGGTTCCTGGATTTTTCCCTAAATGGAGTGGATCAAGTTTCCTCAGATTTTTTTGTTGTTTCTTGCTGCTTCCGCTACATTATTCAACTCAATCCCCATACATCCAGGCTTACTCTTCTCACTGTGAGCAGTTAATGGGGAAGTTACTGTCTCAAGAGTGTGGTTTCTAGGACCCTTATTCTGTGTCACCATCTTCTAACTTTGAGCAGTGTCAACTGTTGTGTCTTCAGCTGCTCCCCTGCCTGAGGTTAGTGTTCCTCAACCTGGGACAGCTTTGCCCACTTCGGGCATTTGGGTGTTGGTTGTCATACCTGGTGTGGGTGAGACTGCTACTGACATCTAGTGCTTAGAGATCCAGATGCTATTCAGGCTTGTGTCCCTACTGAGAGTTACGTGGTTCAAAAGTCCTTAAAGTCCGTCATGCTATGTTTGAGAAATTCCAACTTCATTGAAGAGAGCTGCCTTGGTGTGGGACCCTCCAAATATTCCTCCAACTTCTGGGGCTTGTCATGTCCAGAAACAGAATAAGGCACAGAGAGCTGGAGCGCCAAGCACAGACTTATAAGGAAAAAATCTTTATCTTAACTATATTTTTGCATAGTACCATTATAGACACTTTATATGTTGTATCTCTTTTTATGTTTCTAGGATTGAAAAAGGGAGTCTTATTTCCCTTCATTTGTGCTTGAATCAAGCAGTCTGAAGTTTTGTACTGCTATTCTGATGTTAAAGTCATTGTTGTCTCTTTGAAGACTGTGTAAGATGATATATGCAGTTTATTTTCTAGAGAGTCTTTGAATGCTCAATTTTATGTCAACAAATTATTTCTTGGATAGTCAGTATTAACATTCTAATTCCAGACACCTTAGGTTATTTTCCTGGCATCTTCTTCCCTCTTACTTGAACTTTCCTGGGAGCTGCTGACTTCATATTTTTCCTTCTGTAATATCATTTGTGCCCCACCTATACAACACATGGAGTGTTTGTGTACTTTCTCTGTAACATGAAGATAGAGCACTTGGTCCAAATAGTAACAATCTTCTGATGGGTGACATGTGAGATAAAAGTTGGGGGTTTCCTATTTTAAGTAGGAAAACCTTTGTAGAGAGAATGCAATATATAAAATAAAGGGCTCAAGAGGTAAGGTAGACAGTGATACCAGTCTGGGTTCTTATCTCTCCCTGTAACTCAACCATGTACCTTCCTGTAATTCATTTATTCAGAGAGTGTTGCTGAAAATCTCTTTGCTAGACACCATGTTTCAGAGACTGTGCTGGACATAAAGATTCGGGATTGGAACAGGGAGGCCAAGTATTGTCCTGCTATGGCTGTGCCCTAGTGTAGGAGATATTACTGAAAGGTCATTGTATCCAAAGCCACAGTGTCTTCTCAGCCTGGTTTGGGGGTCCAGGAAAAATTCTCCAGGAACAGTAAACCTGAAAACTGACTGACTGAAATGAATGGGACTTGGAAATAGGGCATTTCAGATGGAGAGGTAGCATGTTCACAGACATAGAGAACATGATTAGGAAGGGGTGGCAGAGATTGTTGCACATCATTGTGAATATAAGTAATGCCAGGGAACTGACACTTAAAAATGCAGGGTTGAGGGGCTGAAGAGTGACAGGTGAGGGAACAAGACAGTAACCCCAGCATCATGGAAAAGTAGGGGAGAGAAGGAGATGGAATGAGTGGTGGTGCTTGGGAAAGTCAGGAAAACAGATCCTTCTGTGTGCTCGCTTTGTTTAGATGAGGGATTTGGGATTTGTAGGTCCAAAGGTCACCCAGCTAGTAGATGACCAAATCCATTTTTATATTCTTTTCCATTTATATTAATTTCCTAGGGCTGCCCTAAAAAGTGCTACCACCTGGGAGGCTTGCAGCAATAGGGATTTATAGTTGCCTAGTTCTGGAGGCTAGAAGTACAAAATCAGGGTGCTCTTCCTAGCTTCTGGACTGCTTACTATCCTTGGCATTCCCTCCCCCACCCCCACCCCCCAAGGACCTCCTGCGCTTGCTACTTGAGCCATACCCACAGTGTATTTGTTTGTACTTTTGTTTTTGAGAGTCTTCCTGACTTTACCTGGGCTGATGTCAAACTCGGGATCCTCCTGCCTCCACCTCCCACATAGTTGGGATTACAGCTTTGTACTATCATGACTGATAGGCTCATCCTTAGCATTCTTTGGTTTATAGCTCCATCATTGTCTCTCTGCCTGCAGCATCACAGGCAGTCTCCCCATGTCTGTGTGTGCTATGCCTGCACACAACATTCTCGTCTCTTGGTCTCTGTGTCCAAATTTCCATCTTATAAGGACACCAGTTATTGGATTATTCCAGTATGGCCTCACTTGAGCCTGCTTATAGCTACAAAGATGCTGTTTCCAAATAAGACACATTCACAGGCAGCAGGAGTTAGG